TTGGTCTTTATCAAATTCGTTCTACAAGAATTGATTACAAAAAAAATTAACAAAAAATAATGTATGGAAATACTATTAACAAATTATGAAAAAGTAAAAACGCATTGTAAAATTATAATTTGTTGACTTACAGAAATTTGCTGTTCGCAAAAACGTCGATCAAGATACAGATTCAAGCTGTTATATGGCAGTTAGGTAACACTCTTATCTGCGATCACTACCATATAACAGCTTGAATCTGTACCTTGATCGACGTTTTTGCGAACAGCAAATTTCTGTAAGTCAACAAATTATAATTTTACAATGCGTTTTCACTTTTTCATAATTTGTTAATAGTATTTCCATACATTATTTTTTGTTAATTTTTTTTGTAATCAATTCTTATAGAACGAGTTTGATAAAGACCAAAAACTATGGTCGAAACGTCATTTTTATTAACTATCAAATAAAGAAAATCATCATTATTACATTTATACACAATAACAACTGCGTTTTTGACTCCAACTGCCTTGTCCACTTCTTGAAATTTTGAATATCTGGAGTCATCCGTTTTCTGAATTGTATATTGTTACAAGTTAAAAGGGGTTGTTTGGTAATTACTTAGCGTTAGTTTAATTGCAAGTTAGAAGTAATTATTAAAGTATTAGTTTTTATAGTAAAGATTAGTTGTTTCTTTAACGTGGCTCGTTTTTTTACACCTTGAGGAACTGGAATCCGGCACGTATGTCTAGTCAGTAGTCGCGGGGCGATATGCGTCCGCGCGCTCAAGGACGTACCGGCCAAAGGTCGCACATACAGCCGAAAAGATGCAATGGTCTGCATTGTACTGTTCGAGAACCGGATAGCGCCAGATTTTCCTCGGCCAATCACAAAGTGATTAGCTCGATGATAAAAGCCGGTGTCCGGGCCGGTGCGACTAGAATCGTCTAGAGTCGTGTCGCGGCCGGAGACTCTGCCCATCAGAACATCGCTCGCAAGGACTTAGGAGATCGCGAGTGAGTGAAAGTGTAACAAACGCGGAATAAGAAATAAATGGATTTATTGGAAAACTTAAAAAGGATTATAAAATAATATTGATTCTCTTCGGCGTCCCTCCCACGCAGCATCTTTGACCTCACGCGAGGTAACAATACGTTTGAGTAATATTACTGAAAAAGATATTCGACATATCATACAAAAATTTATTAGTTTTAAAATATTTTATTCATGGTCCAATGCAATGTATGCAACGTGCCAAATAGTAAATCACGTTAAATAACATCTCTAACGTTTAGAAGACATAATAAAAACATTTAATATATATAATATTGCTACTTGAAATGCAATACAATATTACCGTAATATTTCATTATTATATGTAAATGTAATATGTCGGTAATATTGTTGTAATATTATATTGTAATATCTAATATTACTGATATATTGCAATTTTACTGTGATATTGCAGTAATATTACGTGCTATATGGGACATTATCACTCTAACATATTTTAAGTTTCTTTTTTCAACAATACACAACAACAACCGTGTCCATTGACTCCTACTGACCACTAATTTCACTTTCTTATTGATTCAGACAAGTAAACACTTGCGTACAAGACTTATCGAGCATGAACTTAATTTTAATCAGAAATACGATCGATAGTCAGTAGTCAGCAAACATCGCAGCGATCTAGGACACGATTTTGCATGAAATGATGCAAAATCAGATACTTGATAATGAACAGTTTTATCATAGGAGACTTATCTCGGAGATGTTGCACATAAAGATGTAGAAAAATGGCATAAATTTAATGAGAGACGCAGACTTGCTTGATCCGATATATACTCCTTTACTTTCGAAACTCAATAGATAATTCCGTGTTTCCGTTCTCTCCTTTTTCTCAAACTTATCTTCCCATTACTTGGTCTTTCTTGTTTTTCTCGGATTTATATTTTGTCCGTTATACGAGATGTTTGTACTGTGGCCGCTACTGTGTGTTATTTGTATAAGAGATTTCATTTGGTTTACAATTAATCAATTATTTATTGAGCATTATATTGTTTTTTTATTGACCTTTCTTATTAATTTATTTATATTAATTTTGACTATATTATTTGACGTATTGTTGACTTTACTGATATATATATAAATGACTTTTCTTTTTATATTTTTTATAATTTTTATACTATTTGAACATTTTCTATACATTCTACTTCTACTAAGACTTATCAATTTTTTCAAAGTAATCAAATGAGTCATAAGGCCGATACGAGCAATAAAATACAGGTTGGTCGTGTATAAAAAGTAGTCTTTATTTAATATACAGACGTTTCAGTTCCACAAGTTTGGACCTTCTTCAGTGTGAAAAAGTTAAAGTCTAACAAGAAAAAATAGAATAAGCGCAAAGCATACATCATAGTAAATTTAAAAATAACATATTAATAAAACTCACTCAAATAAGAAAAACGTTTTAGCTCACTACATCACTACCAGATAAACAAAATGATGTCGATAAATTACAATAACATACTGTGTACTGACAAGCAAACATAACACAGTCAAATATATATAGATATCCCCACTATCAGATCAGAAGATCAAATGTTCACAATAAGTCGAAAAGAAAAACATGTTTACAAATTAAATACAAAGGTAACGGTCTAAATTTTTGATTTATACAATTCTAAAAAGGGAAAGTAAGGTTTTAGCTTGTCAGCGTCCGACATTATATTTATCGGATTGTTTTGTAACTTGATGTGGAGCATTTCTGAAGCTGATCTCTTATAAAAAAATTTTTCCGTGTCCAAGATTTTAACGTCATTCCAAATAAAGTCATGACCAGTCTCCAAACGATGCTCCGTAACCACAGAAACAAAATCAGAATTTCTATTAATCTGATTTCTATGTTCACTAATTCTTGTTTTTAACTTACGCTTCGTTTGTCCAACATAAGATATATTACAATTATTGCAATTAATTTGATACACCACATCTTTATTTTGATCATGAGTTAACTTATCCTTTCCAACTTTTATGAATTTACTCAATTTATTCAAACTTCGAAACGCCAAAGAAATTTCCTTCGTTTTTTTAAAAAGTCTTGAAAAAGAATCAGATAAATCAGGAAGATAAGAGGAACAACAAAATATTTTCCAACAGTTTCAAGATCATCAGAATAAAAAACAAACTTACTGTCAATGTTTGAATTTAATCTGTTATTAATTAAGAACTTAATTCTATTCCTGATTATCTTAAAAATAAAATGTAGAGGATAGTTATTCATAAGGAGCACCTCAATCATAAATTTAAAATTATTCTGTTGAAAACAAGGGTCAGATAATAGCATAATTCTATCAACCATGTTCAAAACTGTACCAATTTTCTGTGATTGCGGATGGGCCAAGTAAAAATTCAAATATCTACCTGAAAAAGTATGTTTATGGTACCAATCAAACATTAATTTACCATTATAATTTAAAATCTTGACTTCTAAAAAACTTAAATAATCATTATTTTAAACTTCTATTGTGAATTGTAATCTATTATTATAATTGTTAAACGTGTCTAATAGTAAAGTTAAACCATCCGCAGGTGCTGTTAGAATAATATTGTCGACATATCTAAAATAAAATGAGGGCTTAAATTTTAATTTTTTCAATATGAATTTCTCCAAGTCTTGCATAACAATATCAACAATAATTGGAGATAGAGGAGAACCCATAGGCATTCCGAAAGTTTGTTTCTATATTTTATTATCAAAAGAGAAGAACGTTGATGTTAAAATAAAATTAATTGCTTCTAAAAATTCTTTCAAAGGAACCTTTGTGTTTTTTCTAATATATTTCCATCTGACTTTGATCCCTTTTATAGCTAGATCGATGGGTATATTTATAAACAACAAAATTACATCTAATGATACAAACAAGTGATCTTGTTGCAGTGTTAGACCCCTTAATTTGTTAACAAGATCAACGCTATTTTTGACGTAGCTATTCGAGACTGGTATACTTTTCTGAATTAATTTATTTAAAAACTCAGCAAAGTGATGTAACGGACTATTAATCGTGGAAACAATTAATCTAAACGGGTTATCCTTTTTATGAATTTTTGGTATCCCGTAGGCTCAAGGTAATAAACCGTTGCTAGATTTGATAGATTTATAAGTAAGATCAGAAATAAATTCCTTTTGTACCCAATTTCTTAACAATTTATTAAGACCTTCTTCAATATTTTTTATGGGATTTCTATTAACCAAAGAATACGTCAAACAATCACTGAGCATTACATTAATTTTTTCCAAATAAGAAGTCCGATCAACAGCAACAGTCACATTGCCTTTGATTTTTTCAAAGTACTTCCGATGCAAGGACAAGTTGATCTATCCACAATTTTTGTTCTTGCTCACTCGTCTTGACATCTCTCATATGTTGACATGCGCTGGTGGTTTTTGGTGTTTTTCTTTTCATAAAGGTGTGTATGCGTCTTGTTATATTGTTTTTACATTAAATAATATCTAAATATCTACATTGGAAGATAAATTCTATAATTTTTCTAATTTTTCTATATTTTTTATTCAACGGGACTGATGATGATCTTAAATTAATAAAAAAACGTTCCACTACTTTAAATACTTTATCTACTTAATTACTTCGAACAAAGACTGGAAAGTCTATTTTAAAGTTATTTATGTAATATATTACGATGGTTTTTTTTTCAAAATAAATAAAAAGATGGAGAGAAGGCAATAACGAGCTAACACCTGATGTTCGGGTAAAATTCTTCTTTAATTCGAGGATTTAAAAAAAATGTTAACAAACGTTTCGATCTACTGTGGAATCTTTTTCAGTGTTTCAATAAAAAAATTACAAAGACAACATTGTAAGATATCTTGAAGATATATCTCCGACTTCTCAAATAAATTAATACTGTAGGCGCGTGGGTAAAATATTTTTTGGCACTAAGCGGTTCTCTTGAGAGCAATTTAAATAAAACTCGGCACTTCTGTTTCTAATTGATAATTAATGTATATATATGTCTAAATTTATTACTTATGGCACTTTACAATAAAACTCACAAATATGTTACTCTCGGCACATTACTCAGACTCAATCTTCACATACTCAAATCTTCGACCGATCTCATCAACGGTTTCAAAACGACTCTCTCTGCGTAATCGGCAAATATATCCAAAATCATGCACGATACAATAACATGTGTTCCTAGAGATGACGCAATACGATCTTTCTCAAGGGAATTACAATAATAAACAGACGAAAGCATTAGCTACAAGGCAATACATATCAAGCCATTCGGCAAAGTCGCGCGCGCGCGAAATATTTAAACAGAATTCTCTTTCAGGCGCTTACAACATGATCTATTCCAGACGATCATGAAGAATATGGATACAGAAAAGATATACGCTACAAACATATTCAGTTTGAGGAAAAGAAAGGCGGAAGTGACAGCTAAGTAACCGTCAGTATTACGCAAGATGACGCAAAACGTTCTCTCGCTTTGAATACAACCGACAGACTAAGCAGCCCCTTTCATATTCAAGACACATATACCGGTGTCTCACCCTCATCACAACGTTTGAATCGAACCAAGAATAATTATGTCGCTTTGTAGTTTTCCAAAAATGAAAAATATCAGGTTTCAGCTTGTCCGTGTCTGACATGACGTTAATTGAATTGCTTTTTAATTTGATGTGTATCTTTTCGGAGACGGATCTCTTAAAAAATGAAGATTCTGTGTCCAAGACTTTAGTATTTTGCCAATTGAAATTGTGGTCCGTATCAATTCTATGCTGTGTACTTACAGAAACATTCTCTACGCGACGATTAATCTGAGTTTTGTGTTCGGAAACTCTACTCTTGAGTTGTCTCATGGTCTGGCCTACGTACAAAGCATCGCAATCATTTACATTGCATTTTATAAACAACGTTTTTTCTTTGTTCAATATCTACAAGATCTTTGATATTTTTAATAAAGTGATTCAAGTTATAGAGACTTGTATAAGCTAATATATTTCCACGTTTTGTTTTCAACTATTTTGAAATTGTGTGCGATAATTTATTGATAAAAGATACAACAAAATAATTTTTAACGGTTTTTGAAGTTGGTGTAGACTTCGACTTGTCC